GATAAATGGGAAAAATTAAGACTAAGCCTGTGGGGTAAAATTAATGTGATTAAAATGGTAGTTGCTCCTCAGTTCAATTATGTTTCCATGATGTTGCCAGTGAAAATATCGGTGGAAGTATTTGGTCAATTCAATAGAATTATCAGAGATTTCTTGTGGGACCGAAAGAGACCCAGGATTAATATAAAAAAAATGTGGGCCTCGAGAGAACTTGGAGGCATGTCTCTTCCTGATGTGACACTTTATAATTTAGCCTTTGAAATGTCAAGAATAGTGAAACACTGGACAAAAGGAGATCCACAGCTAAGCTGGGTTAAGATCGAGGAAGAATTGGTGGGTCCTTTTACTGTATTGGATGTTTTATCTCAAACAACGGATGCCAATGGCGTGGACTTACAGGACAATCCAGTGCTCATGTACTCAAAACATGTATGGAAAGAGGTTCACAGACTGTGTGGGGAATCTCATTTGAGACAACAGTATTCATCATTATGGCATAACTCAATTTTACGCATAGGTAAGAGAACTATGTATTGGAGGGACTGGCTTGAGAAGGGGATTCATACAATCAGTGATCTTTATGAAGATGGTTTGCTCATGCAATTTGATGTAATAATTCAAAAATTTGGTCTGGAGAGAAGGGGAAATTTTTGGAAATATTTACAATTAAGAAACTGTATTATAAATGGAAAGTACACTCAAAAATCAAATCCAGTTTTGGAGTTTTGTAAACTATCTGAGGGAACCCACAGAGCGGGTCTTTTTTATAAATGTTTTAATAATCTAAGAAAAAATATGTGTGAAAATCTGAGAGTAATTTGGCAAAGAGATTTGGGATGTGATATTGATATAGAAAAATGGGACAAAATACTCTTACACTCGGGAAGATTTATAAAAGAGGCGAGAGGGAAATTCACACAATATAAATTAATACATAGGTGGTATCTCACACCTACGAAACTTAAAAGGATGGGGATTATGGCAAATGACAAGTGCTGGAAATGTCAGATAGATACAGGGACATTTATACACGCCATATGGGAATGTCACAAAGTCTTCCCATTTTGGGAAAAAGTGCTGGATTGTATAGAGGAGTGGATTGGTAAAACAATACCAAGGTCACCCAGACTATGTTTACTCGGGGATCAATCGGTTATGCCCGGAATAACCAAGTGTGAATATATTGTTTTGAAGGGTGGGGTTATAGCAGCCGCTCGGGTGATTCTTTGTGTCTGGAAGAACCCCTCTCCTCCAGATATTAGAAAATGGATGGACAATATACAAAGAGTGGTTTCACATGAAAAACTATTGGCCAGGCTAAATGACGATTCTGATATTTTTGCAAAATCTTGGGGGCGAATTTTTGAATAAAATTTGAACAATGGAAAGCCACTTTTTGTATATATAGATATGGCTCATATGTATATATGGGTATCTTTATTTTGTATACCTTGCGCCCAAGGAATATTTAGAGATGCTGCTGAGATCTGTATGTCTGATGCTTATGTTGTTTATATTGTTAAAGTTGGAAAACAAAATAAAAAGTTTAATTACAAAAAAAAAAAAAAAATAGATGAATTCAGGTCCATTTAAAATTCAATTTCTGATGGAACAAATAATCCGTCTTTTTTTTTTTATTGAAAAATTTTTTTTAGAATATTTTGAGGGTGAATATGTCATTTTGAAATTTTAATAACATTGACATTTGTAAACTGAATTTTTTGTGATTGAAATGCAAAGATAAAAATATTCAAACATATTTTTTCAGGGTTAAAAATTTCAAATGGAAAAATTCAAGCTAAAAAAAATTCAAAATCTGATGACACAAAAAATCTTCCATAGACAGAGAGGTACTTGATTTGAAAAAAAAAAACAACCCAAGCTCCTCCCCCTTCCTTTCTGATTGGTCTACACGCTCTTACCGGAAGTATAGCATGCGCCTCGCTCAGTCTTTGTCTAGCGTCTGAGGAGGTGGGTCATGTTTTTACGCTCTGCATGATTTCGGTTTTAAATGTTATTTATGTTGTTACAAATGCAAATGTACAAGTCAGAGCCTTTTGAATCCATGTTTTAAGTCTGTAGTTTACAGTGATGGGCAGTAGCGACGCTACTAGCTTAACTCGCTACGTTTTTCAGTAGCTTGAGGGTAGCGTCACTATTTACAAATCCAAGTCACTTTTCTGTAGCTAAGCTATTTTTTTGAGCAAGTAGCGCGGTAGGGTCCTCCAAAGCTGTTTTCTCACGGACATTTCTGATGTTCATATACTACAGCATTTTCCCGCTGCCAAAAACAAAGTAGGAAGACGGAATGTTTAAAGAAGCTATACCCGATTTTTTTTCTAAGTAGTTCATAAAAATGCTTTTTACTACATACAAGTTGTATCATAATACATAATTTAATTGAAAACTTGAGGTTATTGATTCAGCTGTGTAAGAATTACAAGCAGTGAAAAGTGCTGAGTAGAGTCTGAGCGGGCCGCTCTTTCTCCTCCGCTCACAGAACGAGCAGCGAACAGCCTGTGTCCTCTAGTCTCTACAGCCTGCGTCCTCTAGTCTCTACAGCACTGCTTAACACCAGGGCTTCGACTTCAAAATTCGAATATCATTCTAAAATAAAAAATATGAACAAAATAATTGAATAAAAAAATGTGAACAAATATTAGACAACCCTTGTAATTCGAAATGTATTTAATGACTGCAAATAAAATAGTTAGCTCCCAAAGGTTTCATCGGGACGTGCTAGGCAGGTAACAGCTAAGCTAGCTAGCTGTTTCATGGTAACTTCCGGGTTTTTCGCAATCGCTTTTTGTCACATTGAAACAGTATTTTTGTCATGAAAACGTTAACAGCAAATTCTGAAATCATCCGTGCATGTGTGTTAAGGATGTATATGTGTACCGTATTGTCCGATTGACCTTTAATGGTGTTGATTGATAGATATGTAGTTGTTTATTGAGCGTGGCTAGCTCCGCTAGCTTCTCTACACAGACAAGTGTGTAGTCGTGATAGGCGCTGATAGCTTGTTGTACTTGCAGAGTAATGGCAGTATTTTACACACCTGAATTACAAACAGATTGCATTGGGGCTTCGGTCATTATTGGTTTGAGAGTTCTGTTATCAAGAAAAAATGATCGGAAGAATTGACTTCAAGTCAATGGAGTGCTGCTGCTTTGAGGAGCTCTATAACAAATTATAATTAAATATTAGAATATATTCTAAGGTTTTAAATTAATACATTCGGACGCGAAACTAGCGGTATTCTTTTACTTATATATTGTGTTAGCAGTGCGTTGCTTTAGTACCATTTCATCAGTGATTGTTGCACAGCTTACAAGTTGCGCTAATGCTAATGTTAGCATAGTATCAGATCGCAAATAAAACTAGGTGGCTCTGTGTTATGAGAGCACAGGGGAAATGAGAAGCCATTGAGCAAGTTGGGGGGCGGTGCTAAACATTCAAACATTGCAGAAACGGGTATAGCGCCTTTAAGTGTGCAGGCCTTAAGCCTAGTGTTTCTACTGTAGGTTTATGTGATAGTTTTATGGATTCATTATTTTATAAGTCATTTCAACTGTGATGCTGTGAATAAAGACACAGTTCTGTTGGAAACATAGTTATTATTAAATAGTTTTCAGCACAAACAGCAAAACAATAATAGTGGTAAATATCTGAGACAAACATGAACGATTTACGAGTGTATATATGTTAGATATAAGTTATATATATGTTAGATATAAGTTATATATATGTTAGATATAAGTTATATATATGTTAGATATAAGTTATATATATGTTAGATATAAGTTATATATATGTTAGATATAAGTTATATATATGTTAGATATAAGTTATATATATGTTAGATATACGTTATATAACGGGAGTGCACCCTGAGTCGGACACGCGCACCTTTTTTGTCATGTTTTAATTTTATCAGACGTTTGCAACAACGGCCACGGGAAAGCTGTGGGTAAGCATACTCTACACATGTTAATGTTAATTTGTGCAAAAAATTGTTCATGAATGTGCTAATTTCATTGAGTAATCATGTTTTGAAGTTGCTTTTTACGGAAATGCTTGCATGAAGTGCTTAGGCGACGCTCTGACGACAGGAGAGCTCTCATTTTCACTCTGTTTTACGGATTAAAAGACCAAATTCGTCTGTTTTTAACGGTCACATTGGTAGATCAACTATTGTCAATGCACGTTACTAGTCTTATAAATACACAAGTGTAAAATTAGCTATATTAATTAAGTATTTACATTTTTAATCCTGCTGTCCAGTTGCTTGCTCTGAAAATCTAACCCGAGGAGTCTGTTCACAGATTCGGGGTTTCAAAAACACGCTAAAACATCAGTTTATGGATACTAGCAAGTAGCAAGTAGTTAATGGTTAGGTTAGTGCACATCTTATAAATGAATTCATATTAAAAAATGTTTTTACCCAACATTCCTGCAAAATATAGCCCTCCTGAAGTCACAAAATGTAATTTAACGTCAGTTCCACGATTATACTCCAACAACAGCGCCCCCTTGGGGCTCTACCACATAGCTATCATAGAACATGTTTATGTTTGAGTATTTATTATTATTTATAGTATTGCATTGCTTTATGTTTGTCTTTTTGTGTATTGAAGGCTAGATCGAGGAGAAAGACATAAGAGATTAGGAAAGGGAAAGATCGAGATAGGATATTATCAAGTTAGTAGGAAGGTAGGTGTGTGTCTGTGCTTTTGTTATCCACAGGACTTAAAGAATTGTGCAGAACATGACATGACATGGACACTGATAAGGTCACAGGTAACATGCACCACAATGTCTCTGCATGCCTAGAACACATTAGAACTTATACAATTGATGTACAATAGTTACAATCAATAAAATATAATAAGCAATTTTGTATTTTATAAATGTATAAATGTATTTCTTCTCCATAGATGCCGAGCATACGTGTAATCAGGAAACGACAAAGAAAGTTCCGTATTTGGAATCCGGTGGCCATGCAGGGGGCCATTGATGAAGTGCGGGCAGGCAGGCTCTCTTATAGGCAGGCAGCTGTCCATTTTGGGGTCCCCAAGTCCACCCTGCGAGACCGAGTCAGTGGGAAAGTGGCCTCTGACAGCACCTATGGTCAGAGGCCACTTCTCTCTGAGAAAGATGAGAATGCGCTGGTGGAGTACTGCCTGTACTCCGCCAGCTTTGGATTCCCACTGACAAAGTCACAGGTGGTGACCCACGCTCTGGCAATTTTCAACCGGCACCACCCACAAACACCAAAGGTGGCGCTGAGCCAGACGTGGTGGGTCAACTTCAGGGAGAGACAAAAACAACGGCTCACCACCAGGACCCCAGATATTATTGACCGTGGGAGAGCTGAAGAGATCCAGCTGGAAGCCACTTCCGCCATAGCTGGTGACTCCCAGCCCAGCCGCATCAGTGCAAACCCCGGGTGCTCATCTGCCAGTTCCGGACATTCCACCACCGGCCTCTCAGCCCCTCCAATCCCCTTTCAAACCTCCCACGGTCTTCAGCTGCCTGACTCTCCTCGAATACCAACTAGGAGCCTGCCTGCAGCACCGGCCCAACATATTCGAGGTACTGTGTTATTAAGACCATTCTTCATTTATGCATTTTTAAAAAAAATCATTATTACTCAACTATGTGTCTCTGTGTTTGTTCACCTGTAGAACCATCTACATCAAGAGGCCCCCTAGGTCCCAGAAAACTAATAACTGCCATGCACTGTAAGTATTCCTTACTAGGATCTTCAATATTTAAATATTTACAAACAGAAAAACCTCATTTATATCTGTTTATTATGCCTATATCAAATAAAAGAACGGGTAACATACGTTATTTTTTTCTTCCAGGTCTCCAGTCGTCCTCTAGCCCTTCCTCCACCAGACCCATGGCATCTGTTGGTAATAAAATAGAATAGACCATTGGAGGCATATTTCAAAGATATAACACTGAGACCGTCCGTATGTATACCATAGGCATACAATAGTCATCGTCTCAGATTCACATTGAGTGGAATTCCTCCCACTGTAAAACATTTGCAAATAGTGCACTACCTCCCTAAAACCTGACACTACTGAAACTAGTAACACCATCAATGTCAGCTAGTGTTTGTTTGCCTAGTTAATTTAGTCTTAATAATTAAGATGTTATTAATGATTCTCCGTTTTTACAGCTCCCCCGGCCAAAAGAGCCAAAAAAGGATGTGGAATGTGCAGAAAGGTGGATCCACCCGGCCAAGGAAAGACGGTGCCATGGGTCCAGTGTGACACCTGCCACAGCTGGTTCCATTGGGTCTGCGTGTCATGGGAGGAAGGGCTAGGGGATTTTATTTGTTTTTGGTGCCGAGACATGTAGCGCTATGATGATATGAAATCTTATCTTACATGAGTTTATTTGAATTATTTTTTAGTATCACATTTTTATTAGTTTACTTGAATATTTGATTATTTTTAGTATCACATTTTCATTAGTTTATTTGAATATTTTTTATGCTACATTTTTAATAGTTTATTGGAATATTTTTTATACTACATCTTTATTTGAATATTTTTATACTACATTTTCATTTGAATATTTTTATTTTATATTGCATTTTTACATCTTATTGCATAGCATGTCTCACACAATAAAAAATTGACTATTTGAATTTCTTGTTTTTGCAATAAACTGTATGTAATATGAATTCACAATAATAACAGTTTCTACATACTGACAGTTTGAGCAGTAAAGGTGTATCTAAAGCTGACAGAGAGCATGTGGAGGGATTTCTGTCACACTCTCCTCTTTTCGGCTGGTGATCATAGGAGAACAAAACAATCCGGAAACACTTATTTTTTTCTGCTGAAAGTAGACAGTTTAGTCTTTCAGAATCTAGTCATAGCCATTATTATTATAGATCCATGGTCATAGCACACAATATTCTGTGGGTGTTGAAAATCAGTGAAATCATCGAAATGGCTGGTAGTCAATGAGCAAAGCCTCATAGTTTCTTGATGGGATTTTTAAATTTGCATTACAGTCTTAGGTGATGAAATTGTACAATAAAAATACATGCAATAGAGAAAATATCCACTAGATGGGGTCATACACTGATATGTTGTAAATGCGTGTGGGGAAACACGGAAATAATTAACGCTAATGGGATAATACATATGAAAGTTATTCAAATTAATCATAAGACAAGGTCATAATAGGGATCAACGACTCAGATGTGAACTAAGTTTACGTTGCACAATATTAATCTAGCGCTAGCTACAGTCCGACTCAGGTTTTTAAGCTGTCCGACTCAGGCTAATACTTCCGGCTCGCGAAAATCACAAGGTTTGTGGTCTTCTTTGTAACATTACAAAACAACTAACAAAGACAATTGCCCATGTCATACACCATTAGAAACCTAAGAAAATGAACTTTAGTCTGATGTCAGTTAAATCAGCGAGAGGTGCAGACAAACAAATTTATGACCGGTTGAAGGTAAAAAACATACTCATTTTTAGCCCGAAGTGTCCGACTTAGGAAACAGATACGCTATATGTTAGATATATGTTAGATATACGTTATATATATGTTAGATATAAGTTATATATATGTTAGATATAAGTTATATATATGTTAGATATAAGTTATATATATGTTAGATATAAGTTATATATATGTTAGATATAAGTTATATATATGTTAGATAGTCCACAGTCTCCTGTATATCAGGCTCTGAGCCCAAACTGCTTTTCCTTCGAAGCACAAAGCTCTCTGCTCCATAGTGCCTCGTCCATGCTCCTGCTGCAGCCGCTCCGTGCTTCCTTCCAATACACACACACGGACCAATCACAGCGGAGCTTCCTTGCGGCGACCCTTACGTAGTTAAGCCTAGTTTATACTCGCGCGGCGCGGAGCTTACGGAGGTGACGTGACGTCACTTGCGCAACGCGTTGGTCACCGCAAGGCCCTTACGTCGCCTGCCGCGCAGCATCAAAAAGCCTAGAGTATACTTGCGCGGCGTGGCTTACGTTAGCGGTTGCGGTGGACCTACGTAAGCACAATGGATGTTATACTGGCGCGTTCCCCTTACGGAGTTTTGAGGAGAATGTTGTAATCCCACAACAAACCACATGAGGGCGATCACACAGGAGCGGTCCCATTTACGCTGCTACTTTGTCCTCTTCAGAACAACAATAACAAACAAAGCTGTTTGAGCTCATTACACGTGTTTCTACTGTAGGTTTATGTGATAGTTTTATGGATTCATTATTTTATAAGTCATTTCAACTGTGATGCTGTGAATAAAGACACAGTTCTTGTTGGAAACATAGTTATTATTAAATAGTTTTCAGCACAAACAGCAAAACAATAATAGTGGTAAATATCTGAGACAAACATGAACGATTTACGAGTGCAGGAGGAAAGCAACAAACGCAGCTACGATTCAAACAAAGACAGGAACAGTTTATAAGTTATATATATGTTATATATATGTTAGATAGTCCACAGTCTCCTGTATATCAGGCTCTGAGCCCAAACTGCTTTTCCTTCGAAGCACAAAGCTCTCTGCTCCATAGTGCCTCGTCCATGCTCCTGCTGCAGCCGCTCCGTGCTTCCTTCCAATACACACACACGGACCAATCACAGCGGAGATTCCTTGCGGCGACCCTTACGTAGTTAGAAAATTTCGATGCTGCAGGACAGGCAACGTAAGGGCCTTGCGGTGACCAACGCGTTGCGCAAGTGACGTCACGTCACCTCCGTAAGCTCCGCTCCGCGCGAGTATAAACTAGGCTAAATTGTCTAACTACGTAAGGAAGCTCCGCTGTGATTGGTCCGTGTGTGTGTATTGGAAGGAAGCACGGAGCGGCTGCAGCAGGAGCATGGACGAGGCACTATGGAGCAGAGAGCTTTGTGCTTCGAAGGAAAAGCAGTTTGGGCTCAGAGCCTGATATACAGGAGACAGTGGACTATCTAACATATATATAACTTATATCTAACATATATATAACTTATATCTAACATATATATAACTTATATCTAACATATATATAACTTATATCTAACATATATACACTCGTAAATCGTTCATGTTTGTCTCAGATATTTACCACTATTATTGTTTTGCTGTTTGTGCTGAAAACTATTTAATAATAACTATGTTTCCAACAGAACTGTGTCTTTATTCACAGCATCACAGTTGAAATGACTTATAAAATAATGAATCCATAAAACTATCACATAAACCTACAGTAGAAACACGTGTAATGAGCTCAAACAGCTTTGTTTGTTATTGTTGTTCTGAAGAGGACAAAGTAGCAGCGTAAATGGGACCGCTCCTGTGTGATCGCCCTCATGTGGTTTGTTGTGGGATTACAACATTCTCCTCAAAACTCCGTAAGGGGAACGCGCCAGTATAACATCCATTGTGCTTACGTAGGTCCACCGCAACCGCTAACGTAAGCCACGCCGCGCAAGTATACACTAGGCTTTACGTAGTTAGAAAATTTCGATGCTGCGCTGCAGGCAACGTAAGGGCCTTGCGGTGACCAACGCGTTGCGCAAGTGACGTCACGTCACCTCCGTAAGCTCCGCGCCGCGCAAGTATAACTTAGGCTTTAGTGACGACGCATACACTCGCGTACACGCACGCACACACTCATGCGCACGCACACACTTGCGCGCGCTGTTGGAGGGAGACAGGACGGCAGGAGCCGCGGTCTCGGAGGACTAAACTGAGGCCTGGACTCCACCGGGCGCGTCTCCGTTGACGCGCGTTGGCTGCTGTCCGTCGGACGTCCATAAAAAAGACTAGTGGTCAAACCGGCTGCAGCAGCGCGCAGCTCTGGCTGTGCGTTTATCAGCCTGCTTTGTTTTTGTAGGAGACACGTTTGGGCATTGTGTGAATAAATGAATGTTTGGCTGATGGAGGAGTCATGTGTTGTCGGCGTACATGTGTGCGTGTGCGTGAGAGCGCCTGTGTGTGTGTGTGGTGGGAGGCGCATGTGTGTGCGTGCATGTGTGTTTGGGCCTGTGACCGCAGCGATTATTATGATCCAGCCTCTTCGTTTGTTTTCTATACTTATTTAGCGCGTCATACACTTTTATCGGACCCAACTCGCCTCACCGCGGCTTTAGGCAACAGGCAGCCGCTATAGTTTTAAATAGAAGAAGCGGTGTGTGATTTGAATGAGCTGTGGCTATGATCAGTGCAAAGCACAGCATATTGAAGCATTGAGGACGTCGCGATGGATGAAGCAAAACTTATTGAAAGCAATTGGAAAAAGGGGAGAGAGAAAAGAACTCTAACATATCCTGTGTGTGTGTGTGTGTGTGTGTGTGTGTGTGTGTGTGTGTGTGCGGAGAGAGAGAGCGCCTCGCAGGTAGAGGGGACAGAGCAAGCCCCGGCGATCCAAGATGGCGCCCTATTCAAATGAATGGTTGTGCTCAGTGGCGCTTTGTGACGGCATGGGGGCTGAAAGATTAGCGGAAGTCGCCTGGAACTCTCAAAGATCTATGGGAAAGTCGCCTGTATTTGGGCATCGTCTGGTCCTCCCGGTTCTGCGCAGTGTATTATCTCCCATAATGCGTTGCGCTAAACACGCGTGTGTAGGCCTGTCACGATATTTTTTTTTGACTGGCGATAAATTTCTTCTTAAATTATCTCGATAAACGATAATATCTTTACACGGCGTTTTTATTGCAAGAATTAAAAAATACAGTAAAACAATTGTATAAATAACCAGAAAAAGAACAATATTGGAGGTAGCACAACAGGAACAATACTTTAAAGTGCTTAAAAAATATATAAACAGAAATAGCATTGAGGTATCAAAACAAGAACATTTTAAAGTGCTTTTTTTTTTTTCAAATTAACAAACTGTATTGAGGTAGCACAACAAGAACATTTTAAAGTGTCTTAAAGAAATCAAATGTTTAACCAGCCACCAGACATGGTGCCTTCCTAAGAAATTATGAAATTCAAAACAATATTTCACTTGACAAATGTATAAACGTAAATTGCCTTGTTCAGAATAATAGTTTTAGCAATTGCGAGCGAGGAAAACAAACATGTTAACCTTGTGTGGTTTAAGGCAAGACCTCTCAGGGGTCTCTTTGTTCCCTGCTGTGCTGAACATTCGTTCTGAACTCGTGCTTGTGGCACAAATGCACATGTATTTTTTTGCAAGCTTGGAGATTAAGGGAAACCTTTTTTGGTTATCACGCCACTAGGGCTGGGACAACGCGTCGACGTAATCGGTGACGTCGACGCAATCGGTGACGTCGACGCAAAAAATACACCGACGTATAATATGCGCGTCGGTGCGTCACACACAAAACAAAGATGGCGGCGAGCGGTAGCAATGCGAGTGTCGTGT